CAAACAAGCCTATTAATTATATTTTAATTTAATTTAATTTGGTGCATTTAGCCGAATATATATTAAAACATGGTCTCAGTGGTTCCTGTTGTAATTGTGTTTATGAAATGATTGTAATGTTTTCATAATAATTTTTTCATTTTTTATTGCATTGCTGACTTTTTTTCTATTTTTCTTAAATATAATAAATATTATATAATTTTTATATAAATATATTTTTTAAATTAAAATAGGCTTAGATAATTAAAAGAAATATATTTTCTCATATTCATATAAGATATTTTTTAAATAAAAAAATTTATTTAAATCAAATAAGATAATTATAAATTGTAACACTCTTAATTTTTATAAAATATAAATGTAATTGGTAGCATAAATATTACTTTAATTTTTTATAAAATACATGCTAATAAAAAATTGTGATTTACATTACTCTTTTTTAAAAGAAAAAAAAAATTCTATAAAAATTAATTCTTTTGTATTTCTCTTTTATGTTGCATGAGACTTTTTTTTTATTTTTAAATTATTTTTCTTTAAACCTTTTTTTTACCGTTACTGTAAGAGATACATAGTGAAAAAAAAGGTTGTGAATCTATTTTTGTTATATAACAAAGAGAATACTGCAAATGGTATTTGTACAATAGTATTATTAAATAATTCTAGCTATTCTAAAATTAATCTTAATAGAATTATAAAAAACTATCTAACAATTTATTTTATAGATGTATTCTTATCACCCTCCCGCAAACTATGTGTATGTTTTGAAATTGCACCCAATTTGTGTCGTAAGTCTAAGAAGATTTTGCTGGCTGGTGCTTTAGTAAATATGTTAGCTACTTGGAGTTGAAATGGTATATGTCTTACAATTATGTTTTTTGTCGCTACTTTTTCTCACACAAACCAAAGATCCAATTTAAAATGTTTAGATCTGGAATGCGATATAGGATTCCCTGTTAACATCACTGCACTTCTATTGTCACACCAAGGTAAAGGAGGTTTTGTTATGTGAAGTTTTAATTCTGTGAGTAATGATTTGATACAGCATATCTTAGTTATCATTGCTGCGCAGCTTCTGAACTCATATGCTTGACCTTGATACTACCTTTTGTTTCTTAGCAACCCAGGATATTAAGTTTTTTTTCAAGATACACGTAGAATCCTAAAGTTGATCTTAAATCATTTATGTCAAATGCTCAGTCTAAGTCTGAGTAACCTGTGATATACAAGCTTGGAGATTTTTGAAATATTAATCAATGATCAGTAGTGCTATTAAGATATCTGAGTTTATTCACGGTGAAAAAGATGTATGGACAGGTGATTCTAGCATATTGTAAGGTGCCAATGTTTGATCTGTATAGTTTTGGATCTTCAAATTCTGCAGTGTCATCCATTCCTAGTTTGCATTCAGGTGCAAGTGGTGTTTTGATTAACTTGGATCCCTGCATATTTACCTTTATAAGTAAATCAGAAATATATTTTGATTAATTGAGTAAAAGAGAACCTCTTTTCATTTCTTATACTTCAATCCTTAGGAAGTAGTGCAATTTGCCTAAATCCTTCATAGAAAATTTTGAATGTAACTTGTCAATGAAATGTTGAACTAAAGAACTAGAGTTCCGTTATTAAAATGTCATTCACATATATGAGAAAATATTTAATAGTATTTTTAGTGGAATGTATAAACAAAGAATTATCACACCTTGCAGAATAGAAGCCAAATGATATTAAAGTTGTTGCAAATTTAGCAAACCAAGATCTAGGAGCTTGTTTTAATCCATAGAGGGCTTTATTTAAATGACATACTAATTCAAGTTTAGTTATAAAACCTTATGGCTATTTCATAAAAACTTCTTCAGTCAAGTTGCCATTTAAAAAACCATTATCAATATCTATTTGTCTAATATTCCAATTTTGAGATAAAGCTATGGTTAGAATGATACGAATTGTAATAGGCTTCACCACTGGACTAAATGTTTCAGTGTAGTCCAAGCCTTCTTATTGCCCAAAACCTTAGCAATAAGTCTTGCTTTATACTTACTTATGCTACCATTCAAATTTCTCTTGATCCTAAAAATTCATTTGGAACCAATTGCCTTCCTATTTGGAGACAATTTTACAAGAGTCCATGTTTTATTCTTGGTTAAGGCTTGCATTTCAACTTTCATAGCTTCCAGCCATTTAGAACATTTAATAGCCTCGTGAACATTTCTTGGTTCAATTCCAGTTAAAAGAACTTTGGGTTTGAAAATACGGACCTTACTTCTTGTAGTTATGGCATGTATGTTTACTGTTGATGGTGGAGTAGAAGTAGCATGTTCTTTATTGATGATTGTTGTCTGGTTTTCTGAGATAGGTACAGAGGTTGGCTAGGGCTAATTTTCAGCATGGGTTGTACTTTGAGGAGGTATTGGTTGTAATGGTATTTGATTTACTTGATGTCTAATCAAAAGTATAGTAGGAACATTGTTTGTAGTACCTTGAATAAAATTATGTTTTTCAAAAAATGATTTATTTTCTTTTAGAGAAAATATATTTTCATCAAATTTGATGTGTCAAAAAATATAAATTGTTCCATTAGAAGAAATACATTTATATCCTTTATTATGTGTAGCATATCCTATAAAAATGCATGCTTTCAGATCGAAAATCCATTTTATGTTTTTGATATGGTTGTAGAAAAGGAAAACACAAACAACCAAAACATTTAAACATAGTATATTTAGATATTTTATGAAATAATATTTTAAATGGAGATTGTATTTTAACATCTGGTGATGGAATCCTATTTATTATGAAAGTAGCAGCACTAAAAGCATCTAACCAAAATTCACTAGGCAAACCAGATTCAACAAGCAAAGTTAATCCAATTTTAGTTATGTGCCTATGTTTATGTTCAGCAGAATCATTTTGTTCATGTGTATATGCACAACTTAGTCTATGATTAATGTCATTTTCAGAGAGATATTTGTCAAAAGCTAGGTATTTTTTTGCATTATCTATTTGTAGTGATTTTATTTTCTTATTTAGTTGTGATTCGACAATTGTTTTGAAAGATATAAACATTGAAAAAGCTTGTGACTTGTTGTGCAAAAAATAAACCCAACTGAACTTTGAATGAGCATCCAAAAACAATATATAGTACCTATGTCTTTCTCTTGAAGGAGAAGAAGAAGGTCTCCATATATCAGAGATATGAGTTCAAGAGGTTCAATATATACAGTTTTTGAATCAATGAAGGGCATTTTATGTAATTTTCCAAGACAACAAGAACTACAAACAAAAGTACTTTTATTCATTACATGCGGTATATTACATTGTTTCATAACATGCTTTGTAATTTTATAAGAGCAATGACCTAATTTGGCATGTCACAAATCTATAGAGTTACATTGGGCAATTGAATTACAAACTGAATCATGAGTATTAAACAATGGAGGTAACATATTCATATTTGGAAAAACAAAGAGCCCATATTTAAAATGTCCTTTGAGCATAATCCTCTTGTTGGCCTGACACTTAATTACACATGTATTAGCAATAAATTCAAATTTTATATTATTATCTTTTGCAAACTGAGATACACTCATTACATTTTTTGTTATAGTAGGAACATGCATTAAATTGTGCAAAACAAGTTTCTTAGAATAATAAGGAGATTTAAAATTGGAATTTCCAATATGAGTTGTTTTAATTTTGTCACTATTAGCCATATGAATAGATGAATTACTTGTATACTCAGGCCTTGTAGAGATGTTGTTAAGATCATTGGTAAAATGATGAGTAACTCTAGTGTCCGGGTACCAGTTGTGTTCAATTTGAAGATTGGAATTATTTGCATAAGTTAGCATGGCTTGTGTTTTCTGATTTTCTTCAGAATGAGTACCAGTTGAGTTTGAATTCGGATCTTCCAAATCCTTATTAAAACCTATACCAACAATGATAGGCACTATGGCCTATCTTGCCACACAACTAACATTGTATTTTTGTTCCTCTTCCAGTAGAGTTGTAAGAAGAAGATTTAGTTGATCTTTCTTTTTCACGATTTTGTCCTTTACCTGAATTTTTTCCGCGATTTTGAGATTGGAAACCCCTCTTTCCTCGATGCTACTACCCCAAATTTTCTTGTAGAAGAGTTGAATCACAATTCTTGTACTTCTTAATTTTGACCTCGTGATGCATCAAAATCGCTTCAATTTTAGCCAACATGTAGGGATTTGTCCCGGTGATACAGGATGTGATCATAGCGTCGTATTCCTCTGGTAATCCATAAAAAATCACATCGATGTGATCTTCAGTGCTCAAAGGCACTCTTATGGTGACTAGGGTTTCTACCAATTGTTTGATCTGAACCAGATAATTGGCGATGCTGCCGGTCTTTTTGATGTTGCACAATTGAATTCGTAATTGCTTGACTCTAGCTTTGGTTTGTGAGACGTAGTAAACCTTCAAGATTTTCCACACTTGATAGGTCCAGGCAACCAATCACACGAACTTTAAATTGCACATCCATGGATTCAAGCATCTAAGAATGAAAAAGATTGTCTTATTGTTCAAAATTTTCAAATGCAAGGTTAGTATTCCTTTCGCTTCATCTTCTTTGCTTAGAAATTTTGATGGAATTTGATAGGCTCCAAGAAGATGTTTGCGTAGACTATACCCTTTGATTGTAGATTCTGTTGATAGTTAAGCCAAAAATAGGAACTGTCTTATATGACAGATATAGGTTCTGTTATTTCTGTTTTTCTTTTTGTACATTGCTCTCTCTGACCCTTATATAAAGGGATGTATTGTTATCACAAAATATGACATTACTTTTTACCTTTGCATTGTCTCTCTTTAAAAAAACCCTTTATGGTATCAAGAGCATAGGTCGGTCCACAACGGGCAGTACATAAAATACGTGAGTCAAAAAAAGAACGTGTGAGAGTTTCAATTTGTAACCTTAGGCGACGTGAGAGAAAAACGAAGCTTCAAGATTAAAAATCAAGAAGAACGAAGACATGGCTGGGTTAGGAGGGATGATGCAAGGGTCGTTGCCAATTTTTTACGGCAAGGTTTTTGATGATTGGCACATTAAGATGCAAGCCATTTTCGGCTTCCAAGACGTTGCAGAAATAGTGAAAGAAGGTGTGGCAGAGTTGAATTCAAAGGCCACCGAGGAAGATAGGAAGAACCACAGAGCACAACTGAAGTTGGATAGTAAGGTCAGATACCTTATCTATTAGTGTGTAATGGCAAAGATTTTCAATAAAATTTCAAAGGCAGCCACTGCTAAAGAAGCTTGGGAAATCTTGGTCAAGACTTATGGTGAAAGGGATAAGAACAAGAAGGTAAGGTTGCAAACCCTGTGGCGGCAGTTTGAGTTTCTGACCATGGATGAGAGTGAGACCGTGGCAGATTATTTTGACAAGGTTCAAGAACATGTCAATGCAATGCGGGCTTGCAAAAGTAACATCTCATATCAGAATGTCGTGGACAAGATCTTAAGGACTCAGCACCTAGGTTCGATCACATGGTTGTTGCTATTGAGGAAACACGAGCTTTGGAAACTATGGAGATTGAGGAGCTGCAACATTCATTGGAGTCGCATGAATACATAATGAATGAACGACGTATTTGCCAAGAACAAGTCTTGGAAGCTTGTTCATCATACAAAGGAAAGGGAAAAATGTTCAAGAAGTCAGGCAAGAGTAATACCCAACATAAAGATTCACAAGAACAGAAAAATGAAGGCGTGACTGAGTTTGGAAGACGCAAAAGTCAAAAGGCTATGGCTAATTCTGATGGAGAAAAGGAGTGGAAATTTAATAAGACGAAAGTCAGGTGTTTTAATTGTCAGAAGTTTGGGCATTTTGCCAAAGAGTGTTGGAAGGGTGATGGTGCAAAGAACAAACCCAAGAACCAAGCTCATCTAACACAGACAGCACGTCTGACTCTGAAGAGGTGATGTTGATGGCAAGAACGAATGAAGATGAATCAAAGGATGCGTCATGGTATCTAGACTCAGGATGTTCGATCCATATGACTGGAAAGAAAGAGTGGTTTGTGAAGATGAATGAAGTGCTTGATGGAAAAATCAAGTTTGCTGATGATAGGAGTTTAATGGCAGAAGGGTCTGCCAGAGTTGTTGTTCGAGATACAGATGGCAGAGAAGTTGTGATAGAAGAAGTGTTATATGTGCCAGGGCTAAAGACCAATTTACTGAGTTTGGGCCAACTTTTACAGAAGGATTTTGTGATAAGGATGGAGGATAATAGCCTCAGCATATTTGACCAAAGTAAAAGATTGGTTATTAAAGCAAACTTGTCATAAAATAGGACTTTTCGTGTAGTCATGAAAGCTGTGAAGCACCAATGTTTTTCTGCAGCAAGAAAAGAAGTGGAGTGGTTGTGGCATTTGCGCTTTAGGCACCTAAATTTCAGAGACTTATTCCAGCTAAGCCAATACACAATGGTCAATGGAGGTAGTAGATACTTCGTGCTATTCATTGATGATTGGACTAGAAAAACGTGGTCATACTTACTCAAGAGAAAGAATGAAGTTTTGGAGGTGTTTCGAAAGTTCAAACACATGGCTGAGAGACAAAGTGATAAGAAGTTGAAATTGTCGAGAACAGATAGAGGTGGTGAGTACACATCAACAAAGTTCAAGAAATACTGTGATAATAAGGGAATAGTACACGAGATAACCCCTCCCTATACACCAGAGCACAATGGTACTGCAGAAAGGAAAAACCGAACCATATTGAACATGGTAAGGTGCATGTTGAAAAGTAAAGAGCTGCCAAAATTTCTGTGGGGTGAGGCTGTGTTAACTGCTACTTACATCTAGAATAGGACTCCCACTAAAAGGTTAAAGAACATCACTCCAGAAGAAGCATAGACCACATATAAGGCAAATGTTGAGCATTTGAGGGTATTTGGCTCAGTATGCTATAAGCATATACCAGATTAGCTGAGGAGAAAGTTAGATGATAAAGGGGTGTCATTAATACTGATTGGTTATCATACGATTGGTAGGTATAAGCTGTTTGACCCAGAGGCAGGAGAAGCTACTATAAGTAGAGATGTGGTGGTTGATGAGAAGAGAACTTGGGGCTGGAAGTCATTGCAGGAAAGAAATATCACACTTCAGCTGGATGATGAGTATTCAAGAAGTGAATCTGCTGCAACTCATGAAGGGTCTACTGATCAAGGAGGAAATCTGAGGAGATCTTCTAGAACGTCACAGTTACCATCTCATTTGAAGGACTATAACTTGTTCTATGAGGCTGCAATCACCTCAGAGGGAAACTTTGTGCACTATGCACTCATAGCCGAGGCTGAACCTGTTACTTTTAAGCAAGCTGCTGCAGATGATAGGTGGCTGAAAGTGATGCAAGAGGAGATTGAATCCATTGAGAAAAATCAAACGTGGGAATTGGCCAAGCTGCTTGTAGATAAGAAGCCAATAGATTTGAAGTGGGTTTACAAAGCCAAAGTAAATCCACAAGATGAGATTGTCAGATATAAGGCCAGGCTAGTTGCAAAAGGCTTCCTACAAAAAGCTGGAGTAGATTATGATGAGGTATATGCACCCGTGGCTAGGATGGAAACCGTGAGACTTATAGTAGCTTTAGCAACTCAGCTTGGTTGGACTTTACATCAATTAGATGTAAAGTCAGCATTCCTAAATGGAAGGCTAGAAGAAGAGGTTTATGTGGTGCAGCCCCCAGGTTTTGAAGTTAGAATGCAGCAGGGTATGGTGTATAGGTTGAGGAAAGCTCTATATGGGCTAAAACAGGCCCGTAGAGCCTGGAATCAGAGAATTGATCAGTTCATGAGTAGCATTGGTTTTGAGAAGTGTGCTTTAGAACATGGTGTATATGTCCAGTGCAGTCAAAGAGAAGGAAGAACTGAAAAATTAATAGTATGCTTATATGTAGACGACTTGTTGGTCACAGGAAGCAGTGAAGCTTTGATTCATGAATTCAAAGTGCACATGTTGAGTGAGTTGGAGATGAGTGACTTAGGCAAGCTGAGCTACTTCCTTGGCATAGAGTTTACTGAAACTGCGAAGGGTATGGTGATGCACCAGTCACGGTATGCGAGAGAGATGCTAAGGAAGACAGAAATGCATAAGTGCAATGCTGCAAATACTCTAGCTGAGGTGGGTTTGAGACTGGAAATAGATTCAGAGGAAGAAGCAGTTGATGCTACAACTTATCGAAGTATGGTAGGAAGGTTGAGGTATTTGTGTAACACACGGCCAGATGTGAGTTACAGTGTTGGCATTGTTAGTAGGTATATGCAGAATCCAAGAGTATCCCATATGAATGCTACAAAACGCATTCTCAGGTATGTACAAGGAACACATAGCTATGGTATCTTGTTTCCACGAAGAAATGTAGGAGTGGAGTTGAGGATCACTGCATACTCTGATGCAGATTGGTGTGGAGACAAGTGTGACAGGAAGAGTACAGCAGGGTATCTGTTTTTCCTTGGGACTCACCAATCTCGTGGAGCTCAACCAAGGAACCAGTTGTTGCTCTGAGTTCTTGTGAGGCTGAGTATGTAGCAGCATGTGAAGCAACCTGCCAAGCTGCATGGTTGAGTTCTGTGATGGAAGGTTTGAAGGTTGTGTTGGCAGGGAAGATATAGCTTCTTGTTGACAACAAGTCTGCGATTGATCTTGCTAAACACTCTGCTTCTCATGGAAGGAGTAAGCACATTGAGACAAAGTTCCACTACATTCGTGACCAAGTTAAGAACAATAAATTGGAGATTTGCCACTGCAAATCAGAAGTGCAACTTGTTGATGTGCTAACAAAGGCGTTAAAGTTTGAAAGGTTCAAACATCTGAGAAGGCTTATTGGAGTTGCTAATGTAAACAAAATTTTAGCTTAGGGAGGTGTGTTGATAGTTAAGCCAAAATTAGGAACTGTCTTATATGACAGATATAGGTTCTGTTATTTCCGTTTTTCTTTTTGTACATTGCTCTCTCTGACCCTTATATAAAGGGATGTACTGTTATCACAAAATATGACATTAATTTTTACCTTTACATTGTCTCTCTCTAAAAAAACCCTTTAGATTCTGCATGCTGCATCCAAGTTAAATAATTGTCATATGTGAACTTGGATGAAATTGCAGATGAAAAAGTTTGAAGAACAAAACTTTTTGCTGCGAAATCCATTAATGTCATGGATTGTTTGGATAAGCTAATACCATGTAGGAGATACACAATGAAAAAGAAAGGTTGTGAATGTGTTTTTATTATATAACAAGGAGAATAATGCTGGTGGTATTTATACAAGAGTATTATTAAATAACTATAAATATTCTAAAATTAATCCTAACAAAATTATAACAAACTATCGAACAATCTATTTTATAAATATATCTTTATCAATTACTTTTGAAATAATTTGTTCTTTTTTATCACATTAACTCTTGAATGAAATAGAAAATAAACAAATAAGATTTAAAAAATAAAACAATATAAAAAATATGTGAACTTTAAAAGGATAAAAATAAAAAAAAATAAGAATTTTTCATTTATTTGAATAAATATAAATAGTTTGTATTAAATAGTTTAAAATAACAATGAATATTTATTTTAATAATATACTAAAAATTTTAATATATATTCTTACTTATGCAATTTTTAAAAGTAATATTTATATTATTTTACAGATTAAAAATAATATATTATTTTAAAGCTTTTTATACTCAATCGTTCCCATTAAAACAAGTAAAACATAGAAGGTCATGTTGGATCATTTGCAATGCATAGCCTCATTAATTATTTTATTATTTGCGAACATATGTTTGATAGTATATAATAAAAAATAAATCACACAATATTTATTATTAAAATTATAACATTTGATTATATTGATTATATTTGAATAATTGTTTATTTTAAACGAATACTTATATCTTAAATTTAACAATAAAATTTATTAAAATAAACTGAAAATAACTTACAAAATCAAATATTATTTTTCATAAGTTGTTGATAAATTATTTCAAACAATTTTATCATATTACATAATTTAATAAAAAAATTTATACATATATATTATTATATATCCTTTAGCAAAGTTTAAAAATGTTATTTTGTTTATCAGTTCAAAGACACATGTAGAGAGATGAATTTCAGTATTCCTTCTAACCATTCCCATTGCCCTGAGTGAAAAAAAAAATGGTGGAGAGGTGAAAATAGGCCAAAACTTAAAACACCCATTTAAAAGCATTTTAAGCTATAGAAATTTGCAGATTTTGTTGCAGATTAATACTCAAACATAGCAAATTAATCAAAGAAAACTATCCCGTGTACGATAAAATCTAACAATGCCATTCAAATTATTCCAAGTTAGCAATTTAATCATACATCTACAATTTCAACCTACATAACAAAACATAGCAAAAGCACACGAGCACACAAAAAAACTTTCACGTTAATGCAAAAGTTAAACAATTAAATGTGTTTGAATGGAAGATTTTATAATTAAAAAAACATAAAAAATAATAATGAGAGATGTGTAGAGTGAAAGTTAGATGTATAACAGAAATTATAAATAATAAATACAAATATTAAGTATAATAAAAAGATTTTTATTTTTCAAAATAAATTATTTGAATACTTTTATTTAACATAAAAATTGTCTAATTAAAATTTAGTAATATTTTAAAACTTATTTTTTTACCTTCCAAATACATAAATTGTAATAATTTTAAGATATTTTATCTTAACATAACTTAAACCTTTGAAATATAATATCAACAACATAGATTTTACTTTATCGATACCACGAATTTCATAAAGTTAATAAAAAAAAAATCATGAATTCAAAATCTGATCCCAATTATTTCTCCTTAAAACATATTATAATTTATAAGATTCTATCCTCATGCTACAAAAATAAAAGTTAGATACCATAATTGAAAAACGTTCTTTATATTAGCATAGAGCTATATGTTTAAAAAATATTATTTACATTGTTTAAATCATCAAACATAAACATTATACGTGCTATTATATATTTTTTGTTATTTATTTTGTTTATACTTTTAAAAAATATATTTAAATAAAAAATACAAAATAAAATAATATTTTTTTATTATTTTAGTATGTATTAAATATAAAATAAAAAAATTCCATTCTTACGGTATTTTATTTTTATTTAGTGGATACGTATCATGTATAGTCATAAGCACATATTTTAGATTAAGTTTATGGTGTATTTTTATTGGAATGACTAATTTTATGTATTTAATTATAAGAGAGACCATTTTAGTACTAAATTTTAAAAATTTATAAAAGAAAAAAAATTAAAACATTTAAGTCTTTGTTTGGAAGTTTAGAAGGAGGGTGAAAGGAAGAGTTTAAAAGAGGAGAGAGGAGAAGAGAAAGGAAAGGAAGAAGAATGAGGTTAAATCTTTCTCTTATTTATTTGGATGTTTAATATTGAGATGGTAGGATAATGGAAGGTTTAATTATATAAATAATATTATTTTATTTTATTTACAAAAAATAAAAAAAATATTTTTTCTCTAAAAATTAATATTTTTAAAATTACTATTCTTTTTTAAAGAAGTTAGAATTCTATATATAAAAGAGTATGAAAATGTGAGAAAAAAAAACCTCTAAAATGGTAGAACTTAAAAAATTAGCATTAGGATGGTTCTAGAGGGTTTAAAAAAATTCCAAAATCTTCCTCTCCTAATTAAGCAACTTCCAAATAAGAGTTAAACCCTCATAATTCCTCCCTTCTCTTCCGAAATATAATTTTCAAAATAGTCTAAACCTTTGTTTGGAAGGAGAGGAATGAGAAAGGTTTAAAGGGAGAAGGAGAGGAGAAAAAGGAAGGGAGAAGAAGATTAAACTTCTCCTTTATTTGAATGTTTAATATTGAGAGGGTAGGGTGATAGAAGGTTTAATTATATAAATAATATTATATCTTACATATTTTATTTACATTTTTATTTTTATAAAAAAAAATATTTTTTTTCTGTAAAAGTATATTTTTTAAATTAATACTTTTAAAATTACTATTTTTATTTTTTATAAAAAATTTTAAAAAATTATCACTTGAAAAAATAACATTTTTTTAAAAAAAGTTAAAATTTTATATATGAAAAAGTATGAGTGTGAAAAAGAAAAAAAATTTAAAATAAAAGAATTTAAAATATTAGCATAAAAAAATACTCTAAAATCCTTCCCTCTTAATTAAGCAACTCTCAAATAATAGTTAAATCCTTTTAATCCTTCCCTTTTCTCTTAAATATAACTCTCAAATATAGCTTAAGAGTATATGGAAGTATGAAAAATCCAAATCAAACAATAATACTACCTACCAGTATAAAATACAACCATATTCGCAGCTGACTTCAGAATTTAAAAATTACATTTCAAATAAGAACATTATCAAGCACTTATGAAATCTAGTCCGGCTCAGGTGATATTGTTGTAAATATCACAACTCATAGTTGAGGCTAAGGTTGCTGGGGCTAAGTTAAAGAAAAAGTAAAAGAAAATGGCATTAAATTTTGTTTAAAAAAATATTGGAAGAAATTGGAATGGTGAATTTAAGAACTTGCAACTAAGAAGGCATAATAAATAGTATATGTTTGAAAAGCAAAGTTAAGTGCCTTTTTTATATATATAATTATTTTTTTAATTATAAATATCTTCTGTTGAAGGCAATTATATTTGAGTTAAACTTAATATTACATATTAGATTAAACTGATATAATTTATGTTAATTAATTCATATGTCTGATAGTATTTAGTTTATTTACTTACGCCTTTTTTTTAATGTTATTTACTGTATTTGTAATTATATGATTAGTTGTGTTTAAGAGTAATGTATTAAGTTTGTACTCACGTTAAAAACTATCGATTTAAAATACTCAATCAGCATGAAAGAATAAAAATTTATTTATTTTTTAACTAAAAAGGATAAAATAAAATCACAACTACATAAATACTAGTGAATTTTAAAGACAAAGGTTAAAATAACATATTGCTTATCAATCAGCAGTCAAAAGGTAAGTTTTATTTTAAAAAATAAAATTCATCTATCATTAAGGCAAAATATATTCACATTAATGTTAATTTTATATTAAGTTATTATTTAATAAAAAAATTATAATATCAATAATTTAATAAAAATTTATTATTAATGATTATAAAAATGATCAATTATTTTTAACATAACAAATTACGATTGAATTATAATATAAAAAAATGCATACTGCTAATATATTTAAATTAAATTTTAAAATAAATCTTTACATTTTTACCCTTGTGTGTGTGTTTTACAGTGTTACCTTTAAAAAGAAAAGAAAATATCCTTAAGAAATCCACCTAGGAGGCTAGGACACACACATAGGAAGTTGTAATCCAGCACAGTACAGAGGACACAGATTAAGATTGTTATCCCAACGTTTATCCTTTCAGCTCAACAAACCAAGCCGGGCAATGGCGGTACTGATTCGTTGTTCCTGCTTCCACTCACATCCTCGCTTCTCACAACCTCATTTCTATGCCAAAAACCCCAAGCTCCACCTTTCTGGTCAGTTTTCTGCACCCCCACTTCAAATTGATTCCGAAAATCGTAACTTTCTTGTTTTGAGCTTTGGAAACACTCTTTTTGTGTTGTTGGTTATGGGAAATCCGTGGCAAAATTGAATTTTTTGTATGTTGCAAATTATATGACAGTGATCCTCACGCGGGATTAAAATTGTTTAATGAATCAGGAAAAATAGCTTGTCTTTCTTTCAAAGTGGACAGGGTTGTGCCATTCTTTAAAGATATTTTTGATGGGTCTTCTAAATTTCCAAGTTTGCTTCATTGCTCAAAGTGTAAGGTATGATGGTGAGTCACGGCATTCCTGCCGCTATGCCCTTTGATTTATGTGCTTACTTAGTCTTTTTGCTATAAATGTGTGTTCTACACTGTACATAAATTGTTAAATATGGAAGATTTAAGAATTTTTTTTTGTCAAATATGTAAGTTTTACGATCTCGTCTAGAATCATGCTTTGGAAATTGTCAAACATGATGTTTTGTAGACTAAAACTCTCCTTTTTGGTCACTTTTGAATGTTGGGCAATGCTCTTTTCTCTAATTTTTACTGCATTCCGTTGATTTTCAGTTGCTATTATGTTTTGGCATCCTTTTCTTTAACTCCTGACTTCTGATTGAAATTGTTGTCTTGTCAGGAAGACACACACCAAAGGTTCCCGACACTAACATTTCTTGCAAGCAATATGTTGATGTTCTCTATGCCTTGTACAGCTTTGGCTGAAACATGCGAGGCTGATAACTCTATTTTCAATATGCCTATACTGCTAGCAGTAGCCCTCATTGGAGCCACTGTAGGAGGTAAGGTAGTGTGAGATTCCTTATACAGATATGTTAGCTCGTGATTGTTTCTAAACACAAGTGCTTGGAGGGTAGAACTTCATTTTGTTGCGAGATATTTTTTATGAAATTGTTTTTTTATTTCTTGAATTGGTTCATCTGTTATATCATAAAGGATTAGCATATTACTTAAATATGCTTTGTCCGCAACTACACACCTTATAGAACAAAAGACTAATTTAAAACATTGGAGATTTAGCTATGTGAAGCATGAATGCCTCTTGAAGGCCCTATGTGCTTACTTGTCAAGTTGTCTTCGAGGTTTTTTGTATAATACAATACGTCATGCTTTTTGCTTACGACAAAGGGAACACTGATCGTATATGCAGAAACCTTCTAAATCTATAAAGAAGGAAGAAGTGGGGATGGTTAGAAAGCAAGGGGGTCAGGGATCCTCCTTCATTCAAGAAGAAAAAAACAGGACACTTAGGGGAAATGGAATGAAACATCTGCTGAAAATCTATTTCTTGAAGTGACAGAAATATGAGTTGGTACAAAGTTCAGAGAAAATTAAAGAAGTGACAAAATAAAAGTGGCTTACATACTTTCGTTGAATATCTGATTTCTATGTATCACAAGTTTTAATAACTTGTCCCTCAACTAAAGTGTGGTAGAGGTATTTCATATGTACTTCCACGGATAAGTGATATACTACCCTTTTCTTTAAATCACTGATCTTATGACAGGGCTGCTTGCTCGGCAAAGAAGAAACGAATTACAACGGGTAAATGAGCAATTACTCCAAATCAATGCAGCTTTAAGAAAGCAAGCCAAAATTGAGTCCTATGCCCCAAGCTTGAGTTATGCTCCCATTGGTGGTAGGATACTAGATAATGAAATTATTGTTGACCCAAAGAAGCAAGAGCTAATCTCAAAGTTGAAAAATGGAAAGAACTTTCTAAGAAATCAACAGCCAGATAAAGCATACTCAGAGTTTAAGAATGCCCTTGAGCTTGCCCAGAATCTGAAGGATCCTATTGAGGAGAAAAAAGCTGCTAGAGGTCTAGGTTTGTTATCTTTCCTATTTTGTGTCTGAGAGGCTCCCGCATAATCACATTGGCTTTTTATTTGTGTGTGTGTGTGTGTGTGTGTATCAAATGACTGAAGAATTTTGCTAGGAGCTCCATGATTAAAATTTAAATATTGCATATTGCAGGAGCCTCACTGCAAAGACAGGGAAAGTACCGCGATGCTATTAAATACCATTCCATGGTTTTGGCTGTTTCTGAAAGAGAAGGAGAGGACTCAGGGAACACTGAAGCTTTTGGGGCAATTGCTGATTGTTACACTGAGCTTGGAGACCTTGAAAAAGCAGGCCAATTCTATGACAAGTATATTGCAAGGCTTGAAAAGGATTAATCCTCACATGCTTGATATTTCTTTAAAAAAAAGTAAGTGTGTAGAACAACTAGAGTTTCCTCATGCGGATTTTTTCCCCTGACCCTCTCTCTTTGTGGCACTTCCGTTTATTCAGTTTCTATTAAACATAAATTTTTGGTTGGAAATGCTTTTACAATTTACATTGTAAAGGATATATATGTTTCCAAGATTGTGAAATATATTAGTACTTGGTTGCAGGTTAGTAAAGGAATGTGTACTGTCATGTGTTTAATGGCATCGACATTTCTACTATGCTTTACTTTCAAATTTTGAAGAATGAAGTAATTTATAAAAAATCCAGATAGAAAAAAAGATTCATATCATGGAGTGATGAGGTACGAGTTGCTGTCAATTTGGGACGTTAGTCAAATGTCGTTTATTGCCTCTTTTTTTTTCAGTTCTTCTGGGATAAACATGCTCAATAATAATAATAATAATAATTCTTTCCCAGCTATTAAAATATCTTCTCTCCTTTCTTTTAAACTAAACGCTGTCATTATTTATCTGTAGATTCTTTTGCCAATTGTCACGATTTCTTCCTTCTTACAATTGTGAAAATAAAACTTAATATTTAAACTTATGATTCATACAAACTACTTAAATCCCTCATCACAAACCCAATCTTAATGGCTTTACTGCTATTCATTCCTGCCACAATTGAATATCTGCCCAATATTATATTACATTAAATAATAAATTAACATAATTATTAAAAAAAATTATTTGCAATTTAAAGTTAGCGTAACTAAATCCTTTCTCTCATAAAATGAAATTTTGATATACTAACAATTGATTTTATAATATTACTTCTCGTCCCATCTTCATCTCATCAATCGAATTTTAATAGAATAAATAAAACACCCAATCGACCCACTGATTTTCTGTTAAATCAACGTGGAATCTGGTACAGCCATTGACAAGTGGCTGTAAGTGCCACAATCAACCAATATCACCCACCTTCCTACAACTACTAGATTTGACTTTGCATTGAAATATTAATAAAAATATTAACAGCCTCTTGACAGGAAGATAATGTTGACAACCATCGCGTAGTAACACCCAAATGGGTGAGAAGGAGAAAAAAAATGTCTGGACAGATATTCCCTCTTAAAATCACAAAACACTCATCACTACTAATTAGAAAACCGCATACATGATACAAACCCATACAAATGTTTGATCATAATTATCTAATATGGTAGGTGTAACTACCTCACCACCGTCAAGTAAAAAAGGAAAAAAAAGAAAGCTCCCTAAAGGTTTTAACACGAATCAATGTGCACAAGGCAGGATATATAGATAGCATTAAACCATATCAAGAGAACCGCAGTGTTTTACTGGTAGTACATCATTTGCTGTGCAGCTGCAACATTCTGGAACCCACCATCATATATTGCCTGGCTTGCTCCAATAGCTGCCTGTTTAAGAGGATGTTGCCCTTGAGGATGCATCAAGGCATGGACACCACCCATCTTGCTCATTGCCAGTTGTCGCTCATAGGCCAAAAGATCGGTCGCAGAGAGACCTGGCAGAGATGCAGCAGCAGGTGGGGGAAGAGGATTTGAAGCAGTTCCAGGTGGAGTAGGCTTGCTCCCCCAAGAACACTATATTTAACATTGGAACCGTTGTCAGAATTGAATTGTATGATGTAAAATAAACATAAAACTATATGAACAAACAAAATGAATAGGAGGGGACATAGGGGAATTATCACCACAGTTCCAGACAATGACTTGTGTTAAAAAATAGGGTTTTGTTAACTTTTTTTTAGGCTGAGTTTAAGCATCTACAAATAGAAAATTTTTATGAAAAAAATACACAGTTATTGTATTGAAGTTATAAAAACACAATAAATATTTCTCTTTCTAATAAAATTTTACTATTATTAGCTGTTTATCCTCAAACCTAAAAGCTGAGTTTAACAAAACCCTAAAAAATAATACAAGAATCTCATTAATGTGCTCACATCACAACTTCAAATTCAATAGTAGAAAAGAGCTGCACATAAACCAAGAAAAGAAAATGTGCTTCTAAGTTCCAAATATGCAATGACTCTAACGAAGATTCCAAATCCCTAGTCTTGCAGTACCATGATCAACAAAAAAGCATAGAAAATTTTCATCGCAGGTAGCAACAAAATCAAAGTGAAATCCACACCTTAATTTGTTTGCCACAGAGAAGAGACTGTGCATTTCCCATCTGAATAGCCAAAGCTGCTTCGGCGTGACTACTGTACCTCACAAAACCAAACCCTTTATCACGCTGGACACGAACCTCCTCTATCACTCCAGCCCCAAGAGCATGGAAGTGGCGATGGAGATCAAGTTGTGTTACCTGCAGAACCACCAAAGGTCATGATGATTAAAATGGCAACAGCAATTGCTGCAGAATTCAAACATGCAGCTCACAAGTACATAACATATTCTGTTAAATTGATGAGAATAATTGAAGGCTAAAATAATCTCTAATCTAGTAGCCTAAAAAAGAGAGAGAAAGAGAAAAAGTATGGTTAAATTACAAATTTGGTCCCTAAACTAGACTTGCTTTTCGTTTTAGTCCCTATATGAAAAAAGTCAACATTTTGGACCCCCTATACGAAAAAAAACTACAAATTGGTCTTCACCATTTATTAAAGTAATAACAGTACTAGTATATTTTTCATGTAAGGACTAAAAAGAAACTTGATATCATATGTAAGGACTAAAATGTAAAATTTTTATATGCAAGGACAAAATTAAGTGCAAGTGTAAGGACCAAATTTAACACTATTCTAAACTTGATATTCAACAAGTAGGAACGAATCCGTAAACAACTTTTCACATAAGGACCAAAATATAGTATTTTTTTCATGCAAGGACTAAAACAAAAAATTATGCCTAGTGCAGGAACCGAATTCATAATTAAACCATAAAACAATAAGCAAATAGAGATAAGGTAAAGTTTCAGCAGTGCACATATCGGTTGTGGACTTCCAAAATATCACTTTTGTTACATGCATCATAATAAGCTTGCAGACCTTTCAACAGAATAGAAGTTGATGAATTGCTGTTGTTCTTAACATAAAAATTGAAAAACGCAGGAAAAGAAAGTTTCTTACCTCTGAAGCAAGGTTACCCACATAAACAGTAGTATACTGAGGATTGTTCTCAGGAGCATCACTGTTAGATGTCTCTTTACCATCTTCTGTACAAGTAGGATATAACATATTAGTTAATTGAATGCCTAGTTATTCCAGCTGTTAACTGGGAAAATAGAATACATTGCAAACACACAAAAAAAAAATTTACAAATCCAACCAACAATAAAATTTTCTTGGGTCAAAGGTTCAAAGGTTGCAACAAAATGTTAAAAAGCACGCAGATCCACCCATAAATCACGAATTATAGAAGCTAAACATAAAATGTTTACATTCAACCATCTTCATCATTGTTTCATTACCTAAAGTATAGTTTACTCACCGGAGCCATTTGTTAGTTCCACCACACTTTTGGCATCTGAGTTTTGCTTCTCTTCATTACCACCAGCACCTTTTGTTGCCCAGTTACAGCGTATTTGTCTACTTCCAAGCCACTTACCTGATAGACACAAGTAGGGCTCATAAATTGTTCATTGATCATACAGGAAGTACAGGTGGACAAGAACAAGCAACTACAAAGATAGAAAGTACATCTACCATAAGTGGTAGTCCTGAAAACTATATAGGATGATTTTACATCTTAAATTTACAATAACTAAAAAACATAAAAACTCGACACCAATTGCTACAAAAGAACCTGAATACACAATTCCTTGTTGTGACAATAATTTTGCTTCAAGTGATATCACTGGAGATTGATCCAAATTAAAAGTGATTCTAATCTAAAAGCTTGCTAAGCCAAAAACAAATTACTTACCAGTCAAATCATTTATAGCGCTTTGAGCGTCCTATGAAAAATTCAAGAAAAATGCAAGTCAAAAACATCATAGAGCCTTTTTAAACCAAAAGAAAAAAGATTTTAAAACCAAAAATGACCTGTTGATTACGGAATGAAACAAATCCAAATCCCCTTGAACGTCCAGTCTTTTGATCCCACATAACCCTTGCATCTCTAGAACCACCAGAAAAATAAATTTGATGAGCAATGCTATTTTGTTACCAACATAATTCTATAGAATTCAATGTACAGATATTATCATGAGGTAGTACAATTTTTTTTTCATTTTGAATGACTAGAGATTGGTCCAAGTTCAAATACAGAAAATGGATGACCGTTTTAGTAAGAAAGCACACGAGAATGAAACTTACGAACAACTGGGGTAAACAGAAAAGCATGCAAAGAGTGTAGCATCAGTAACTTCAGGACTGAGATCACCGACAAATATGTTGTAGTGACCTGCAAATTGAAAGAAACAGTGTGTAAAATATATTAGCCAAATTTCACAAAGGATAACATAGTTAGTACAAACATAAGATCTATATATTAACTCAAATCTGAACCAACCTGATGTATCCTCTCTTTGACCACTAGCATATGCCCAGTTAACTTTGATAGGCTGCCCAAATCTGCAAAGCATTGAATCAAAATTTGAATGCAAATTGATACCAATTTAACAGTAGTGTAAAGAGAAAAACTTACAAATGTCTTCCATTGAGAGATAATATGGCAAGGGCCGCAGATCTGCGGTCAAAGTAATGAATGAATCCATAGGATGACTGCAAAACAAAGGCAGAAGATGTCAAATATAAAGCACCATTTCCAGCTACTACTTCAAAATTTAAACAACAAATTAGACAAAAACATAACAATATTGAAAAATATACCTTCTCCTTTCTAATAAGTTTACAACCTTCAACTGGGCCAGTGCCTGCAAAAACTTCTTGTAAAAGTGGCTCAGTTACCTGTGTATGGATATTCCCCACATACCTGCATTTTCTCAAAGATAAAGAAGCTACAATTTAAGAAAAAAAGAACAGAAGAAAAATTAGGGTACAAGTAATTAATTAGCCACAATAGAAAACAGTAACACGTGGGTAACTATTTTAGATTTTTAGTACAACAGAATATCTTTTGAGCATGACAAAATATCTACTTAGGTAGAGTATAGAATACAGGCAACTTGAATGCCTTTAAAACCAATCATTATGTTGAGGAGTAAATAAAATATTATAGTAACAGCACCTAAGCTTGTTTGCATCACAATCACAATCATAAAACAAAGAAAGAAAAATGAGAAATAAAATAGAATAGTAAAAGGTAAAAATATGTCTAGACAAACACTCACACACTGCGGCAAGTACTTGGATCAAAACCAGGAGGCAGATTTCCACTTGGAATTGGTTCAATCTGCAAAACGAAGAAGTGAAAAAGAAAAGAAAGGAAAAAGGGGGCAAATCAAGATAGAAGAATCGTATTGTATCTACCAATACAGAAGTATGAAAAACATTTACTTGGGTGAACGGGAAGGAAGAAAGCATTTAACCCCACTCATACCAAACAAAAACAAATGTATGCATGAGTCCATTGCTAAACCTAAAAAATGAGAAAGTGTTACCCAAATCGGACAAAGAGATAGCAAAATACAAACTAACACTAAAGCAGTATGGAAAGCAAAAAAATCCTCTTAAGACTTAGCTGATTTTTTCACTACATCAAACACGCCAGCCAGTAATTCCTAAATGACGCCAAACAATGAATTCTACTTGGTTATATTATTCAGATTCCTTTCCCAATAAAACCTCCAAGAAAATGAAACTATCAATGACATTGCAAACTTAACCCCAACTCTCTTTCACCAGTAACACACCAAAGAAGAAATGGCAACACAAAAGGAGGAAAAGGAGTAAAGTTGGTAATATATTTCCCAAATTAAGAACAATGCCACTTCAAATTGCTTAAAGAGTGTGAGAGGGCTCATGGGTCATCACTTCAAAGCTTGTATCTCAGTAACTCACTTCTAGAAAACAAAATATCAGCGTTCAACTGTTCACAGAGATAAAATATCCTAAACACAATTTGACAGTCATTAAACACCGCAAACACAGAAGTACCTGATTTATCATACTTCAGAATCAAACAATCAAAGGATTTAAAAAGTAAAAGACAACCCGAGATTTCAAATTTGCAAAATACACGCTTCATGCATAACCTTCCCACGACGAGGCAAACCAAGGAAAGCAACAATCCAATTCGAAATTCGATTTTCCCACAAGAAAAAACATCGTAACAGATAGATACCAAGTCATCAAAGAAAACGAATAAAATCCCACAACCGTAGAAGAAAAATCAAGCTTCTAAAATGGAAAAGAAGAACTAACGTTCGCGACAAACCCTAGATGTTCAATCAATCCCGAATAGGCAAAAAAGGCAGAGCTCGAAGATCGACAGCGAAAGGAAGAGATAACAGAAGAAGATCGAAGCAATGATCAGAAATGGGGGGAGAGAGAGAGAGAGAGAGAGGTAGTGGGGCCCAACCTGGGGAGGAGCTAAGAGGCCAGGGTGGTAGAGAGATTGCTGTTGAAGAAGAGCTTGTTGCATCAGAGCTTGCTGCTGCTGCTGCTGTTGCTGCTTCAACCTGTGATTCTGCATTTTCCTCTTTTTTTTTTTCTTTTTTTTTCTGAGCGAATTTTCCGGGAAAATGGGTTTCGGTGGAGATTAGGGTTCAAAGGGTCCCAAACTATGGCCCCTCTCAGAGCACAGGCCTCAGAAAAACCAGAGGACTCTCCACATTACCCTTCCACCACTATTTATATAACCACATCTTTTCATTTCATTATTATATTTACAAATCTGCTGCTCTTGCGTTGCTTTTCTTTATATCACGAATTTTTTATTTCTATCAATCTTCTTATATTGTGATTTTTTATTTTTTAAATCATTGCAAAATTATACTTGCATTCAATCATCAAATCATATCACTAATATAATTAGTTCACAGTGTAGGTCAAAATTAAATTTAAAATTATTATGTATTAATTTTTTATTAGATATTAATATTATCTATGTTAGAAAAATAACTAAAACTAACAATTTGAAAATATATAAAATTAAAATTAAAAAAAAAAACAAAATGTATTCAAAGCTATTATATTTATTGTTTTTTGTTTTACTTCTTCCAATATAAAATAATAAATTATTTTTTTCTGGATTGTTGAATGACCCAAATATGATATGGACCCCGGTGCCCAAATGGGAGTTAAGCATGGCCCTTGATAAGGTTTAGAAACTGAATTTAATCATCTATCTACCAATAAAAAAAGAAAAAAAAATAATCATGGTGAGGAACAACATAAGAAAAATAACATAGTATAGTTTCTTAAATCATAATATAATCTTTGATTTTGTTTTTTGTTTTATAATTTATGTATAATTAATAATAGAATTAAAAGTTACTTGCCACTCTTCATTTTATTTTAGGAAGATAAAAAGTAGACAATGTTATTATTTTTGAAGAGATAATTTACTTTTCTAAATAGTTTAAAAGGAAAAAAAAAAAAGCTTTTCTAAAACTATAATTTAAAAAAAAGACGTATAACAAAATTAAATATGAATTTATAAATGAGACGTTAATTTTAATAGGTTTGGATATATAATTGGATGAGATTATTTATCGGTGCATATTATCATTATTCGTGAGAGTTAACACACTGCTCCTCCATTTTTTTTTAAAGAATGAGTCTTAAATTCTTTTTCTTCTGATAGAAATAGCCTTAAATTATCTCACTTGATGTTTACAAACGACTTAATCATTATAGCACAAGTCTTCTCTCCCCAGATATTTATGATAAATGACATTCAAAACAAGTTGAAAGTGAGGTTGGCAATGCAAATATCTACACATTTTTGTTATATCTTTCATAAGAATATTATCACATAAAAACTTTACAAAACATTTTTTTTCTTAAACAACTGTATATTACATAAAAATAAAGAATTCAGTTTCTAAAATAAATATAAATTCATAAATATTGATTAAAATAATCAATTATTATAATTGTAACTTACATAGAAATATAAAATTAATAAAATTTTATCTGTTAATTTCTATTTATTAATTGTTACACTATATTGCATCATGTAAATCTCTCTTTTTTTTTAAGTGCGCTTCCCCTGAAAACACTTTAAAAATATTTTTTTCTTGAAAAATGTTAGATGAAACATTGAGAGGCTACATTAAGAAGTGTTTCGGCGGATACTCAAAAAGTTGAATACACTGGGTTGAACCTAATACAGGAAGTGCCCTTCTCCAAAACCACAATGAAGGAATGGCCCATTTAAGTGGCCCAAATAAAATATGGGCTTGTATAAGGTGTTAACTTTTGACCAAAAAGAGGATACAAGAGAAATGAGAAAAACACTTTCTCTAACATATTGCTAAAAATTATTAAAAATTAAAAAAATATGAAAAGGCAATAATAATTTAAGAATAAAAATATATATAATGCGAACCACAAAAACAATGACAACAAAGAGGGAAAGGGGATCCCAAATCATCGCTGTTTATGAATGAAGGAGAGGATGTTTGTCTACTGATAGTTACACATGAGAGAAACTATACATTTAAAGATGATTGTTATATTTAGCATATTTCTATAATTTTTTATTTTTTCAAAATTTTTTAATTAATCTAAAAAAATATTTATTTATTTATTAAATGAATAACAATAATCTATGTACCTAAAAATTTATTTATTTATTTATTTATTTAAATGATTCCCTTGCAACATATTTTCTGTTGTAAAATAATTCATTCGTTTAATTTTTATCTTATCTATCTACAAATTTACATATTTTTATTTAGGGTCTTGTCATAGAATCAATGTTTGTTAGGATTGAATGAGAGGCTGTTAATATTTTAACAAATCAATAGAAATTAGTCACTGTACATAGAAAGTCCAATTTTAAAAGTTTGATCGTTATTATATTTTAATTAATTTTATTTATTACATCCTGTTTGTGTTTAGACTTTTTTTAGATATTTTTAAATTAAGTTTAATTTTAATATACTGTTAAAGTAAAAAAATGTGGTTCATTAATTAATTAAAAATGTAGTAAATAAAAATTTAAAGTAATTACTATAAAAATAATATCTATTGACAACAGTGATATTTCGTATTGAATAACAATGTAAATAATCAAACACTACTATTATAATTTAATTAATTTTTTAATTTAAATACGTTTTAGTTCCTATAAATTTTATTAAGTTGAAAATTAAATTTTAATAACCTTTTTTAAGATTTACCTTTAATAAATTAAACAAGTAAAAAATTAGTCATTGTCTTCAATATATATTTATTAAGTGTTGAGTAAGTTACTTTACTAAAATTTTTACTTTGTACTTTTCTAATTGGTACATGAATTAGATTTTTTTTTTAAGTTGTTTTTTTTCAGTGACTTTTTTCTTTTTAAAGATAGGGGTTGATTTTCTATTTCCTTTACTTAATTGGGACAAAGTTCTTTTAAAATAAGGGTTAATTTTAAATATAAAAAATGTTATAAGTACTAAAAAATTATTTCACTCATCATTTTAAAATATCAAATAAGAGTATAAATTTACACCAAATAAATAAGAGTACTCTTTATATATTAAGTATAAATTTAAATTTTTTTATAATAATTAATTCAAATTTACAACTTTTATAAAGATTAATTTTTTAATTTTAGAATATTTTAAAGAAAAATATGTATATATTTTTTATTTGTCTGTTAATTATGAATGTTACATTAGCAAAAAATAATAACCTTAATTTATATGGAATTTAAATTTTTAAATTTTTTTTAATTGTTCATATTTAATCCTTTAAAATTTTTGAATTATTTCAATTAAATAACCCAATTTAAATTCATATCAAATAATTATAAAAGCCACAAAAGAGACGTAACATATTATTCATTTATTTGTATTAATAAAAAAAAGAAGCATAAAATATTTCAATAGAATTATTATAATATATATAAATTTAAGAAAAAAGGTATTTTTCATGCAGATATTTTTTTTATATAAATTTACATGTTTTTTAATGATAAAAGTGTTTTCATGAGGCAGTATTCTCTTATTTGTTATGTCATGTGACTTTTTATGTATTAGGAATATATATTTTTCAATTAAAACTTCATTTAAATTTTACTTAATTTAATTGTTTTATATCTTTAATCTAAAACGATAAAATATTTATAAATAATAAAAATATTTATTTCTTAAAATTTATTAAATTTAAAGTAATCGTGTATTATTCCTTTAATTTTAGTCTCATTAAATGTTAATTAGTACTATAAAAATATTGGTTAAAATAAAAAAGGTTTTTTAATAAAAAAAAATAGTGTGAAGGTGCATTGAAAATAATCCAAACGAGTCAATAATTATACTTTTCTTTTAAAAAAAAATATTTTTTAAATTAATACTCTGAAAATCGTGATTATTATTACTGTTGTTGAATGATATTTATTCTGTGTGGCAGTATCGGTTAGGTTATAAAAGAAGGGACCTATCTGGAAGTCATGCAGATTGGACCACTCTTTCATATACTTCTATTTAAACAAATCTATGTGCCCACACACATTATGCGTTTAAAACGTTTGCACGAATAAAGGGTAAACAGATTAACTTGCTTAAAATTCAAGTTTAATTAAGTTTCTTTTATATTTTTATTTAAATACATCAACTTTTTAAACCTAAGTTTAATTTCATTAAAAAATGTAATATTTGTATTCCATCCATTTAACTTATTTATAATTTGATTATCATTTATCAAACTTTATTCAAATAACTGTAAAAAAAAAAAAATTTAAAGAAACATTCGTGTAATGTACAAAATACTTGTGATAACACTTTTTTAAATAAACTTTCAGTCTTTTTTTGTCTTCTCTTAAGACTTTAACTCTCAAATAAAGAGTAATGCTCTAATACAATTACATTTTTGAAATTTTATTTTTAAAATTTTTAATTGAACTATAATTTTATTTACACGTTGTGTGATTATTTTAAGAAAAAATATAATATCATATATTTAAGAAAATTACTTAATATTAATAAAAAAATACATTAAAAATATTATATTTATTAAATCTCTTATGTAAAATTATTAAAATGCTTAAGTAATAAAAATATTTTAATGGAAAATTAAAAAGTTTATATTATACTTAATGTTGATTAAGAATTTAAATATTTTTTAAAATAATATAGAACACAAAATTATTTTGAATAAATATTTAAAAAAATTATTAGTTTGATTTGATAAAAAAAAACCATAAAATATGGATGTAAAATAAAAATAACACGTGACAATACTATAAGGAGGAAACGAAGTCTAGAGATTTTTTTTAGAGCGAAAACTCGAATTATATTATTAAGATTTTAAAAAAAAAAAAAAACCATCCCATTAAACTTTAACAGTGTGAACGTCTTTTTCGTGTGAAAGGAGATGCTCCCGGTCAAACGCGTACATGCAGTTGTTAAGATGTTTCTTTCGGTAAAGTTTATATATATATATAAATTAAGAGGATAAAAATAATAGTTTTATGAATTTTAAATGGTAGATTTGTGGGCCATTTTTAATTAAATTATAGTTTTATTTACATATAATAGTTATTTTAAATTTATTTTGTAATTTAATAATAACCGTAAGCTCTTTTTACGATAATGTATTAGGACTTTAAAGATGATTATAGATGTAAAAAAGTATTTAAACCTTAAATTGGTTATTTTTATATATAAAATATAAAAATTATATATATATATATATATATATATATTGTGTTTTTTAAAAAATTATGAAAATATAATATTTAAAATTTGTTAATGACAATTTTTAGGGCAAATATTATTAAAACAAAAAAAATGTCATTCAATAATCATTGCTGATAATTTTTTAAAGATATTAAAAATTATAAAAAAGTTAAAATTTGTTAATAATAATTTTTTAAAAAATAAAAAAGTGTCAGTAATAATTTTTAAAAAAAAAGTAAAGTAAAAAAAATTGTCTCTCTATTGATGACTTTTGAGAAGTTTTTATATTTTGATAATCTTGTTTCATATAAAAAAAAAGCATAAATTGGCAAGTGGGTATTAGCATGACTTTGATTGATGAAAATATGAATGCTTTTAATTAGCAAATGACAGGAACCTCATACTTGGGTACCATTGCCAGAAAGGAAAGAGGTTTGGGGTTCAGTGCTCTTTGTCAGTCCATAATCGCGACAAAACAACAACTTGCATTCTCACAGTCGGTGGATGTTCATTGCTCATTTTCCACGTTGTTGCATTATTATGGCGTATGCGTTCTTTCTCGTTAATTCTCTGTTTTTGTGTTTCTTCGCAGATTAAATGAACTCAGCATCTTTCTTAATAAAAGGTATCTCCCCAATTTTTTCAAAAAATCGATATCTAATCACTGTAAAATTTACTTTCCAAATAATCCTGGAAAATATATTAATCAATGTCCCAGGAATATTAATTAAAAAAATATAAAGTTATTAAACTCAACGTTTTTAAAAATAATTAAAAGCATTTAATTAGATGAACTTGATATTTTTTTAACTAATTAACCTAGTGTGTATACTAGATAGAGAAGTCAATATATTTATAATAAACATAATATGTTTTTTTTGGATAAAACCATACTAAGAAGCCTAAAATACACTTCAAAGTAATATCAAGAAGATGACCAAAAATAATCTCAGGAAAATTATAAGCGCTAAATCGTTGAAAAAATCTCAGAAAATATGTATGCTTATAATATTGCGATGCTATGAGATCCGATTATCATGAATGAAGGAAATAAATCAGGATCACGTGTAAAAGACTTGTATTCACTAAAAAAGATAAAATAATCCACACAAAGTACTTGAAATTTTCTGAAACTAATAAATCTTGGTAATAAGACTATTTTATCTCTGGTTTGGTGGACCTAATTGATGAAATAATAATACATACAAATATATATATTATATATAAATACGTATGAAGGCCACAGCAATCTGCAAAGGGCCTACAATCATATAGTTAGGAGCTTTTGGCTTGGCAGAGCCTGTGTATCCTAAATTCATAATGAGCTAAACCACTACAAGTTAAGGTCAAAGTGTTTGGAACACTGATCTTTAGGTTCACCTCCTGAACCGCTTCCCTCAGGTTTGTGGTTGTTAATTTGGTATGGCCCTCTAGCATTCACCCTCCTGCACCAAATCAAGATTCAATTCAACTACCACTAAAAGCAACCAAAACTTTATCAAATGTCCCAGTAAAGTAGCTAAAAAATTAATAAATAAAACATCAACTTTTTAACCTGTGGGTAAAATCATATAATAGGAAATCAATAAATAGTAAGTATTTTTTGAAACTGGTAGTATTTAATCAGCAACATCATGTGATTTTCAATAAAAACTTACTATATGTAGGTTCTTATTATCTGTCTAAGCATACATTAAAAAAATTGATAACAAATTATTAAAAAAATATATTATTTGATAATATATTAAATATTATACCTTTATTAAAAAATTACTTTTTTTTACTTAACTAGTGAATGCTATTATTTGCATTTTCTATAAAATAAAATGAAAAATCGTACCTTTCTTTCCGCTTCTCAAGAAATTTTACAAGTGAAGCTCTCCTTGGATACCTCATATCTGTTTTGACAAAAGTCGTTGAAACATAGAATTAGCCTATGAATTTGTACTTTTTTTAGAGTAATGTTTCATATCTAGTTCCTATGTTCATATGACAAATGGGGATATAAATAAGATATTAACTGTAACATACCTGAACCAACAGCTTGGTTTCCTGATCTAGGAGTTTCTGAGGCAGAATTTGTCTGAGACACTTTGGACACGGTCAATTTTTCAGTAGTAACCGGAGCACTAGGTGGAGTTTCTTCGGTGCCGGAACTGTCAGAGGCTAACTTGGTGGCCAACTCCATGACCTCCGTGGCCTTCTCAGGCGAAAAAGCATCAAACACTAACATTTTCCCGGCATAGAATATTGTCAATTGGGGAGATTCAGGTCCTGGTGACCTGCATAAAGAAAATAATAATAAAAACGTTATGTATACAAGTTCATGATCTTAAGGGGGGGGGGGGTGGGGGATGTGGTTGAGGTAATAATGATGTTAATAGTTAATACTCATGCTCGTAAACCAAACAGATCTAAGTATATATATATATATAAAGCAAATATTTTTATAACGTAGTTTGTCATCGATTAGAGGGGTATATGTTTGATGCTCCTTAAACAAGGTCTGAGATTCAAGACTTGTGTATGAAAAAATGAGCTCAGAAATAGCTCACCATGCTATAAATATTCTCTACATAAACATGATTGTCCATAAATGTATCCTAGACAAAAAAAAACTAGAGAATATTGAGATCCATAAAAGGGTATCACCATTCCCAGCGCATGCCTCTAATAATTTTTCATGTGAAATGTTATGGGGAAACATGGGTATCTCGGTAATTTCACGAGGCTCAGAGGAGTTATTTTGAACCTTCTCGAACTATTCCCCAGAAAATAAAACCTACTTTTTTCGCTACCTTTTGTAAGCTTAGAATTCAGAACAGTTGCAGAAAAGAAAATAAAAACAGTAACATACCTAACGTTAGACTTCTTAATGCAGGGATTTTCCACAAGCTGGGGAAGAAACTCCATAGCAGAAGCACTTAGTCTCAAAGCCCCTTCTGAGTTTTGCAGGTTGGTTAACAAATCCTTGGTACCCGCTGAAATTTCCACAACCAAACAAAGAATACCCCCATCAGCAATTTTCACCATAGCCAATTTCATGTAATTAATTAAGCTAGTAATACACAAATAATTTCCCAGTACCAAACCATCAATTGTAAATCAAAAATAAAAATTAAATAGGTATCGCATCACATACTTAAAAATTGGTGGGCAAGGCAAAATCCAATAATTATTATTATTGATGCCAAATTTAAAAAATAACAATAAAAGAATTGTACCTCTAGGTTCCATTTTTCCAGCAATTCCAAGGGTGGAATCTCCAGAACCACGTTTTTCCTTCAAGAACTGGCTCAAGAGGCTACAGGTCTGAGAAAAATTGGACTTGTCCGGTGCCTTGCCGGACCTGCGGCCATCGGAGAGCGTATTGGGGAAAGTTGACATTTTTAAGAGAAGGCGAGGAAGAAATTGTGAAGGGAAAACCTGGGAAATTAGAATCAAGTTTGAAAAAATGATGTGTAATAAGGGTATTCAGTTCATAGTTGTAAGTTTGAGAGGGTGAAACGAGAGAATAGGGAGTTTTTGAAGCATGTTCCTTGAATCTGCTTTGGTCTGAGAAACCTTAGTGAGACCATGTGGTCTTTATCTTCCTAATAATTATTTTTAATTAAAATATTCTGAAATATAATAATCGTGATGATAATATAGTATATTATTTTTTGTTTGAAGCACGTGTTTTTTGTGGGGTAAAAGGGGGGCAGCGGATTTGTTCAAACCCTTAACTCTCATCTGCTTCAAATTGCCTTCCGAAAAGTCCATCATGATTCATGGGAATGGGAGAGAGAGAGAGAGAGAGAGAGAGCAGTACTTTATTGCACCACCTGTCTTTTTTTATTATTTAATAATAGCATTAAATTTTAATATACTATTCATATTTTTATTTCTCACTTTATTCAAGTTTTAGTTCTCAAAATTTTATAAATTTTTCGTCATGTGCGTTTTTTTTAATATCTTCTAAATCGAGTCATTTATGTTATTTTTTCATCCAATGATTATTTATTTCTTTGTTTTTTATTTAATTTATTTAAATATTTTTTTATTATAAAAGTTCAAATGAATAACAACATATAAATAATTAAATAAAAAGGGTTAGTCTGAAGAAAAAATTGATAAAAAAACAAATTTAGCATTTTAATCGAAACTCGTTTTAATAAGATGTCGGCATAAAAGTTTATTTTTCTAATCACGTGAATGAATTTTTTGTTTAATTCTTTAAACCAATAGATTGACCGAAAAACTCATAATATTTTAAATAATTAAATGACAACAAATTACCACAGGCAAACCATCTAATAAAAATATATTTTTTGGATGTGTCGTTTAAAAAAAATGTTAAGACTTTTTAGAAATTAAAATTTAGATAAGCCTTTGTTTATATTATATTTTTAAATAATATAATATTTACTCTTATATCTTTTTCACTTACGATAAAAGGTGTAAAATAATTAAGAGCTAAACCACGATATTGAAATAATATAAAATATGATTTTGGTTCCTTTAAAATTCTGAGAGTTACTTTTAAATATTAAAAGTTGAAGAAAGTTTACTGTAAAATAAATTATTTAGTATATAAAATACCAAAATATATTAAATTGACTTTTAATTAAAAAAAGTGACTTTAAATTGTTTAAAATTAACTTTAAAGAATGATGAATTTTTTCTGAAAAACAAGTAATTAAAAAATTGAATTTATAAATGAATAAAAAATAAGAAAAACAAAACTTCTAAAGTAGACAGGTAACAAAATAAAGTGAATATTTGCATGTTAAATTGTAATAATAGTATATATTTTAAAAACTTATTAACTGGATTAATTATCAAGATAAAATAATGTTCTTTTATTGTAATATCTTTATTTTAAGAGTCTAAATATTATCACAAAAAAAATATTAAAATACTCTCTTAAAAAGTAGGTTACTTTTTCAAATAAATTATCATATTTGGCGATAGCACTCAAACTTTGGTAATAGAGTGTTCATAAGAGTAAGAACTTATATTTTGGGAAATAAAAAAGATTAATAAATAGGTTAAGATTGGCATAAATTCAACAAAGAGACATATATAGTTAGGAACCCAACTAATTGGGCAAGATTACTAACGTTAACGCAACCCATACTTTAAATATATCAGTAACCTAGTTATGTTATTCAGATTAATCCTCTAACATTCTTCTTAGTTTCATAAAAACCGTATTAACTGTTGGGTTATAGGAGCTTCTCAATTATTATACATGTTTAACTTTAATTTGTATAAATTTAAAAAAATTAAGTTAGTTTTAATAGATTAATTCACTTTTCTTTTACAAATATACTCGTCTTATTTTTTTCTGTAAGTATTATCCAAATTGCCGCTAGGTCATTCTGATTGGATTTATACAAAAATAAAATAAATTCCAAGTTCTCTTTTTTACAGCAAAATGTCATTTGAAGCATGGTGTTTGACAAACATGGAGGATAACTCTAATTTCGTTTGCTTCACATCCAACTTTGTCTCATTATGATCTCTTAGCCATAAATCAACTTTTTTTAAAAACAATTACAAGGATAGATCTGAAGAAATTTAAGTATAGGAATGAAAATAAAAAAAGAAGTTTTGTACGAGAACCAAAATAAAAGTTTGACCAAATAAACCATTGTTCAGTCAATTTTCACTGTACACTCAAGGAAATTATATAATTCTGCTGTTTAATATGTTAGCAAAATGATCAAAAACTGAATTAAAAGTTATGTTACTGTCAAGACAGTTTTTTTTTTATTTTTTATATTAGGATCAGATTAAAAATTAATAATATACTTAAAGAGTTAAATTTTGATTATTTCTTAATTTTAAGAAAAGCTAAAAGGTATACAAACGCCGATTGTTACCGTCCAAAAGATTTTGACTAACCCTTTACAGTTGAAAACGTAATACTTGTTTGGAGCACAACCCAAACATGTAAGAATACAATGTTATTAATTGGACACAATTTTTGTTTAATATCTTAACTTTTCTGTTTACTTGTGAAAAGTTTAAAGTTTTGTAAAAGTGATTTAAGTTTTAGTAAACAAATATCTAATATAGTATATGATTTTTTATTTCATATATAAGATTTATTTTACTTAATGAAAATAAACAATTGTACCACTTAAATCAATTTTTATTAAATTATATATTTTATTTCTGCAACTAACTAACACTACCCAAAACTATTAAAAATTAAAATACTCTTTATTTAATATATCATTTATTTAATAAAAATGAATGAATTTTTTAAAAGATATATACTAACAAATAATACAATATACTAATATTTAATGTATTAATATTTGGTGCAGACAAAACATATATAGTATTACTACAAACTTAAAATGTCTACACTGATTATTTAATTTTTATTGAAAAAACCTATACAAACTATAGTTAATTTTAAATCATTAATAAATGATAATCATTTGTGAATTGTAGAGATAAAGAATGAAATTTTAAAATATTTTAATAAAATAATAAACATTTAATATTATCATTATTATTTAAAAAATTATTTTATTTATTAACTATTCTTAATCAAACGCAGAAAAATAGATTTATTTTAAAGATAATAATTGTCGTTATATAATAAATATGAAAAGGTGACAAGTTTATAACGATATTTTAAATTGCTACCTAGCACAATAATTAATGTTACTATTAAATGAATGACTAGTTTGGAGCATACTTAAAAATATATTTAATAATGACATTTTTAAGCGTGAGTAATAAATATCATACTAACGGTTATTTATTTGTTTGTTTTTAATATATTTTATTTAAAATACTAATAATTTCAAATCACACATCATATGTTTATATACTAGTTAATACTTTTCAGTTCTTGTATTCTTAATTTAAATAATTTGTCGTTTGATTTAATAATTGATCAATCATGTATCTGTTGCCTTCAAAACAAGAGACTCACCATTGTATACTTTATTATAGTACATGGTTGTTTTTATATAAATATATGTTTAAGGTATTTTATATTGTGTCTATACACTTGTTTTGTTATCTACGAAGATTATAACTTAAAAAAAAATTATTATTATTAAATTATTTAATTCAATTCTAAAGATTTAGTTTACTTTAGTTCAAAATTATTAACTAAACTTAAAATATTGTAGACAATAAGTTATAAATTAATTTATTATTATTTCTTAATATATTTAATTTATATTTGCTATCATGTCTTTTATAAAAACGATTCTTCGTATTACAAAGACAGAATATGAGTTAATAAACTCATGTAATATACGAGTATTATTCCTAGTTATAATTTATAAATATAAACTATTTTAGTAAAATATCACGGTGTTAGATTTAAACTTAGTGAGAATTTATAAAAAAAAAATCAATTTGTCATTCATATCTCTATTAATTGCTAATTGTTTGTGACAAAGATGTTTTTGTCATTGTCTATAAAATTATAATGACAACTTATATTTTACCACAATTATAAAAGTTATCATAAATAATGCATATTTAACTAAATTTTATACTAATCAATAAATTTTAGTTGCTAAAATTATATTTCTTGCCGTGATGGTTCTTAAACTACACACAATTCCATGCATACGAAAGTTAAAATTATGAATCATAGCATTCAAAAATTGCACAACAATAGTAAGTAAAAATAAAATAAAATTGAAGGCGATGATGGGTTTTAGTGTGCGAAAATTTGAGAAGAGCAAAAAAATATGTAATTTTATTTTCATAAGAGCTTATTAACTTGGATGATAAAAATTTATAATTTTTTATTTTCTATTTTAAAACTATGAATACAATGATTAAAACAACACTTGGGGTGAATGTAGTAATATTTTATAATAAATTAATAAATAAAATTTATACATTCAATATTATATTAAAAAATATAATATTTTATACAATTAATATTTTATACTTATTTATAAATACATTGAAAAAAAAACAAAAAACAAAACAGAAGCATAATTTTCATAGTTAGTCGATCTATCATACAGTTTTGATGGAAATTTATATTTTAAATGTTTACAATAGTAATTAGTCATTATCTTATCATCATTTGTCTGTGAAAAAAAAAACAACAGAGTCGAAGTCAATCAAACCTGCTCTTCTCCTTTCACTTTTCCATTGTAGTTCGTAGCATTTGACTGTGTTAACCAAACATACAATAGTCTACTACCTTAGACTGAAGTGGTAACTTTTTCTTTCAATGCCATTTTCGAGCTCCGCGGTCTCCACCATGTGTTTTGACCAATCCAATTCATATTGACTTCGTAGCAAAATATATAAATTTGTTATTGAAAAAAGAAGAAGAAGAAGAGATAAAAATATACAAAAATATTTTTGAAATAACGTGTGTGCAAAATTATATATTTACTTTTGCACGTCTTGTCTTTGCCTAAGATAAAACAAAATTTACAAGTAACTAAATTTTAGATCAACTTTTTCTTTTATTTTCATATTGTTATAACACTAAAGAGAAATTCTAATAAGTTTAATTCCACATATTAAAACCTCAACTTCCTAATGTTTTACACAAGTTTATAATTTTGTGTACAATATTAAAAAAACATTAATATTACTGTAA